AGAACTGCCATTACTCAACAGTATCGATCTGAGCTAGCCCAACAACTCTCCACAGTAAAACAATACTGTGGTGGCAGTGAACATGTGGATGAAGCTTGGCAAAATGTGAGTGGCAAAATGTCAGTGCTGCCTGCCCGACTTCTCCAATTCGACCACAAGATCACTGGATATCGTCGACGTCGCTATCCATGATTGATGTCAGGAAATCCATACCCGCTTGTGACGTGTTTGACGGCGCACGAAAATCCCTCAAACGCCAAATGGTGAAGAGTCTAAGGAAAGACCGAGAGCTCTGGTGGATATCGAAAGCTCGGGAGATGGAGAAGACTTTTGCAACGGGAAACAGCCGCAACCTTTATCAATCGATACGATCGACTGGCCCTAGGAAAGAAACGGTCAGCGAAGCGATAAGTGGAAATTGGCCCAATAATTCACTCGCAAAAACGTCGAATGGAAAGATGGGCCGAACACTTCGAAGAGTAGTTCAGCTGGCCTCCTGCAACACGTATTGTGGGGATAATGCATACGGGCGAATGAAATGTACAAAAATTGCCGTATTGAAACGCGAGAGGGCACCAGGACCGGACATTCTGTATCCAGCTCTCTTCAAATAAGGCAGAAAATCCCTGGTGACCCATTTGACAAAGCTTATTGGTGCTATATGGGACGAAGAGAAAGTGCCTGCAGAATGGGACATGTCGACAGTTATCCCTATCTTCAAAAAGGGCATGCGGACGCTATGTGAAATCCACCGTGGCATCAACCTGTTAGCTGTGGCATCGAAGGTGCCATCGAAGGTTGACTGAACACAGAGAGAGGCAGATCCGTGAAAACCAAGCTCCAAGAGTTCGTGTCGATCATACCTTCATCCTCCGACAGATTCTGGAACAGCGACACTGCTTCCAGCAACCAACAATGGTTGTTTTTCTTGATCTGAAAGCTGCTTTTTACTCTGTGGACCGTCAGGCACTATGGCAGTGTCTGCGGAGCAAAGGCATCCCCCACAAATCCTTGACCCTCCTTAAGGCGTTGTATGCCAATTCCCGCGGCCGTGTAAAGGTCTGCGGGAAGACTTCTCCTGAGTTCATCACATCAAGTGGTATCCGACAGGGCTGTCTTTTTTCACCTTTCCTCTTCAACTTCGTCGTTGGTACGATCATGGAAGACTGACTACCGGCCTCTAATGCCTGTGAGGTCGAAGTGCTCCCTGGGCTTCCGCTCACAGACATCGAGTACGCGGTTCGGCATGCGCCTCACAGCTGCAAAGTGTAAAGTGCTACTGCAAGATAGGGTCGGCTCGAACCCTAGCCTCATGCATTCAGATGGACCGATTGAGGCAGTAGACAAATTTGTTTACCTGGGCAGCTGCATCAGTCCCGGTGATCTCGCGAAAGATGATATTTCCATCCAGATTGGGAAGACCAGAGCAGCTTTTGCGAACCTACGTCACCTGTGGCGTGGGCGTGACATCAGCTTCTCTGTCATGGGTCGAGTTTACAATGCTGTGGTGCGCTCCATATTACTTTATGGATCAGAAACCTAGCCGCTGCGCGTTGAGGACGTCAAAAGACTTTCAGTGTTTGACCATCGATGTCTTCGGAGCATTGCCCGAATCTGGTGGGAACACCGGATCAGCAATGCTTAAGTACGTCGGATGGTATTCGGGAGAAATAACTCACCCTCGATAGATGAACTGATCACACTGCATAGGTTGCGCTGGCCTGGCCACGTACTTCGTAGGCCAGTCGAACGATTTCCTCGAAGGACTCTTTTCGCCCAACCACGTGAAGGGTGGAAGAGAGCCAGATGCGGTCAAACAACGACTTGGAAGCGAAGTGTGAAAACCATTACCGGCAAATTCAGCTGCGCTGGTTATTGTCGTCTTCCTGGATGGGGACCCCGAGACGGGCCACATCAATGGCTAGAGACATTGTCAGACCTGGCCCGGTCGCGCCATCAACGGCACTCATGCATCCAAGCTATTGCCCTCAATGCATAGCTCCTTTCGCATTCCCCCCACTTGACAGCCCACTGACACTGCTGGATTTATGCACCAATTTACCAGCTCCCGCCTCCAATGCGCAGTTACCTACCCCCCCCCTCAATCATCGGTGAACGAAACTGCGGCAGCTACAACCACTGTACGACGAGTACGCGGTTATTACAGCTGACAGTGATGATGATACCGCTGAAGTGAAGGATCGAAGTGAAACCGTCAGCAGAGATAAGTGCAAGCAAGGACCGCCGTAGATAGTGGACACGGGAAAATATCAGGGACATCTAGTGTTCGGTTAAGGACGCAAGAACACACTCAACGTCCCCTTTAAAAGAACGGTAGGGGAACTAGAGAACAAGACACTGATGTTTGTCTGTTAGATCAATCTAATTCCTAGGTTTTTCACTACGGCAGTTTTGGGCCATCCTGTATATCACAGTTAACACTAGAAAAGCCACAACAGTAGTAAAACCGTGCAGATAAAATTGTAGTGTTCCAAAACATTGCTGCTCGCAAGGAACAAAAGAGAAAATGCTACGTCCGCTCAGTCATGCGCTTTGGAGCAAAGCCCAACACATAATCTAGGGACATTTCGTAGATACTGTCATAGTGGAGGTCTACATAGTTCTTCTCAATCCATAAGAGTATAGGGTAAACGCCTGAGTAGGCAATAACGGAAATCGATCTGCAGGTGTTGGGACATGGGCTACCTCAGCAATGCATGTGCATACGCAATAGCTGAAATGAAAAGTCAGTGACACTTAACAGATAAACAACAATCAAAATGATATGACACTACGACAGGGTTGATAACCCTTGACAATAATCTCGTCCTTATAGTTCAGCGTATCTGGCAACCAAGCACGCATGACCACCACTGTCTATGGCTGTAATATTCAGCTGCGTTCTTCAGTCTACGGACCAATGTTTCTCGCGAAAAGGGACCAGAAACGGTAAGTTGTTCGAAATTCATCTGTTACCAAAAGGAAAGCAGTAAAACGCATTCTTCATCTGATCAAGCCGACAAGCTGGCTTACCCAAAAAAGGGAGATATCTGTGCTCAAGTTGTGCAACTGGTCGTTGGCTTGATCGTTGAGGTGATCAGTTGTATAAGGCGATATCAGCAACGCGCTTTTGATGGCAACTGCGAACCTTCCGTGTATTTGCATTTATGAAATCGTTCGTTTGAGACAGAGAGCGAAAGTAGTGCATCTATGGTGAGGAGTAGTTATCGAGTCCTTAAAAAAGACTGGTCCGTTTAGCTGTCAGATTACTCACATACGTGACTATAAACAGTTAGTATGGACAGTGTGCCGAAATATTGTTCGTTCGGGTTCGTCGTGGTTGTTGAGTGGGCAACGAGCAGACTAACAACCAACGAAATTGGCGTGACCTGAACTCGCGACCACTCAGTTACTTTGCTACTGCCTGTTCAGTCTTCCGTGAGCGTCTAACAGGAATAAGATTGTTTGCAATTTTTTTCGACCATTTTCACTTTAGCCAGAATGAATGGTCCAAGAATTCAACGACCTTGCATATGAGCGACTAAGGCATAGTGATTCGTCAACGCGCGTCTACGAAGCGGTTACCAGGTCGTCTCCTAGATCAGTACGCTAGGGTGGTATGCGGCTTTTAGCCAAAAATGCAAAAGTACGAGACTATAAGTTATCAGGAAGTTTGCAGGCATTAAATTTGGGACAACAGTCCCCTTTGTCCATCTCATCAAAATAGGAAGATGTACATAACGGAATGTACCGGATTTCAATGTCTGTCGGCCGCATACAATTACAAAAGTCAAAAATAGTATAAACGAGATCGTTCGTTGAACAACGCGCTTGCTGAAAAACGACAAAAGTCACCGGTGCCCACGATAAATCGATCAGTCCAACATCTTTCAGAAACAGACTCAAATTTAATTTCCGTACATCGTGCAACCTTACTTCACAGCTCCGGTAGTTTTAATCCGCATTGCAACTGTGGAACATGCAAGAACCTGTTTAGGTCTGGCAAAAATGTCATACAGAATGACAAACAACTAAAAAACAAACTATTAGCTACCGTATGGTGTCCCCAGGAAATAACCTGACGAAAAATTCAAAACGAAAGTACTGGATTTCTAAATCTGTCATCTTTAGAGGATCCCTGGTAAGATAATAAGTTGTGGAATTACAAAGAGTCTCGGAAGATTGCCTCTACCGGAGCAAACGTGGACAAGCTTTTTGGTAACTTCTCTCTACGTATCACCAATCATGAAACGGACTTCCCCAGACTACTGAACGCCAAAAGAAGAGGTGAACATAAAAATTTAATTTTCTTCATTGCACAAAAAGGTCATGTATAGTGGATAAAAAGTACAATCCTTACGAACAAAAAAGATATGATAAAAACACAGCCTTTCGGATGGGTAGCGTAGTATCGGTTGGATGGGATCACAGCCGGAGTAATTAATGTAGGTGAAAGCAGGTGCAGATGTGGATACATGTGCATGGGTTAGAAGGAAACTCGCAGTGTTCGACGAAACTAGTAAAGCATGGAGCATGCATCTATGGATCTGAATGCATGCGGGTAATGAGTAGTATATGTAGAATAAGGAAAAACATAATAAGAAAGCCTAACGAACACAATACATCGACCATAACTGCGAAAAATCCGAGAAGCCATACTCAACCATTCATGCGTTCTAAACTACAATGAAAACCCTTTCGGAAGATATGGCAACAGTATAGGATTTAAACGACAGTTCCCACATCTTCATGATATAATTTGGTTGCCATAATGTCTCCGGTGAAAAGCGTCTGTGTGGAGACTGATGTTTGGGTCACTTGGCGTGTTGCGAATGCATCAGTGCCAAGAATGCATGAACATACACAACGGGATCGGTCTGGATCGGACTCGCTTAGAGGAACAGATGAGCTTGTGCGGATTGAACTGCATCCATCTGCGAAACCAGTAATGCTGGGTATTCCAGAAAGTGTGCTCAGTTCCGAAACAGGACTGCTACAACCAGATCGAGACTCGCCCAACCTAGACGATGGTTTTGGAGCGCTTGAAGGACCATCAGCCAATATTTGTCCAAGATGAGCCTCATCTGGCAATTGTGTCGAAGTCTGCTTAGGTTGGACTTCCCAAGCCTCTGCCAAGCGGATTGAGGCAAACGCATTCACGCAACGGTCAAATGCCTCACTGACTTCGTCAAACAGGTACTTTATGCATGGTTTCGAATGTGGGTGCTCCTCCGAATTATCCAGCCCGGAATCTGGATCGTCCTGATAATCGGAATTCTCATCGGATGCGGAATCCACGGTCTGACCTCTTGTTGCAAGACGCTGCAAGTAGTTTGCCAGCGGATCGCTCTCCTTCCACACACATGTAGCTCGCCATTTAGCTCGAGACTCTTTGGGGGCCAGCACAGCGTTGAAGAATACAGTTTCTTTCACCTGTAAAAATACAATGTATGAATGAATATCAGAACCAGAATGTAGCGAACACAATGTTAGAGTGATGTAAATCATCCGAGCGGGGGAGAGTATCAAAAGGAAAATATAGCTTGCAACTATCACAAATCACTACTTATGATGCGACAGTGACGGTGAACCACGAACTAGCCACACAGTTCGAATCGCGTTGCGCAGTCCGCTAGGCTGATTTATCATCTGTTCACGCTGTTGACTATATTGCATCCAGTAGGTTAAAATGGTGAGTTCTGGGAGCTTCTAAAAATCCGAGGCCTCCGTCTATCACAGTTTACCCATCAGAACTATGTACGCAAGTTTCGCACCAACGAATTTAGTTTATCAGTTACAGTTGTTTGTCCACCCAGGCCCGCTTTGTGAGTAATACACACGTTTTACGTCCCATACTGGAGAGTTGTACGGATCACGTTAGCGGCATGCATCCTGTTCGAACCGATTCAAAAAGCTGTGGAGAAGACATCAATGAATACTTATGACTGAAAACGAGTGACTTCTCTAGAGTCGGTCTAGAACTTCCATCGGGTAACATACGGACTTGCTGGAATCTTTGTAAGATCTACAAAAGCGTTCGGAGCATGTATTCTAGGGTGTTGAGGCAAACTGTACTAGGCAACAACAACGGAGAAATGTAACTGTATTTCCAGAGAGTTTTTTGCAATGAAAGTCAATATGGTTTCATTTATGGGACAGTTTTAATTCTGAGTTGGTGGAAACCACGGTAGTCAAATGCAGGAACGGACGTTTTCGCCATCTTCTAACAAAGTTATTAACTGGCGTGCCTGATAGTGCAATTATTATTTTCTTGCACATAGGTATGGGTCGAATAACCAAGCTGAGGTTCAAAAACCTAACGCATCGAAAGTTGTCATCAATTTTCACAGTCAGGAATGGTTAAGCAAATGCCCTTAAAAATATCGCGCAGGTAAGAAACTGGATATAGAATTACTTGACTTGAAGAGACACTTTGTGGAACAAATGGATCGTTGATAAGAGCAAGTGTTATTTTGTCGTTATTGTATATAAGCAAAATTGAGAGATAGAAAAAGTACAGCTTGACCAGAGAGAAGTGTCATCATCAAGAGGATGCGAAGGAAAATGAAGCGGACTGGAAGTAAAATACATGTGAGAAAGAAAAGACAAGGGCTCTACCCTGCAAACAGTACTGGGATGAATCAAGCAACTAAGTTGAGAAATTCGTCGCTGCAAGACTTAGGGAAAGGCCTACCACTTAACTACCTCCATCTAGAAACATCGAATAGCAAGTTGCCGCTTGAGGTTATGGGATAAACCGTTCGTAAGACAAGCATCAGTCGTGGAATTGCATGAAGCGGCAAACGATGCCTTAGCCCCACATAAAATACTCCTTCACCACTATGAACATCAGCGTGGACTAACCGGTTTAAACAAACATGGAGATTACACATAAATATATTATTCTGACACAATTCCACTGTTTCATTGCCTTACACATAAAGAAGACAGGTAAAACATGAGACATACAATGCTTCAGACTTGTACGCTTGTACACAAGTGCACAGATGTACTTTGTTCTGAATAGGAGAACCTCAGTACTCCCTAAGCAGCCCATCGAAATCGTTGAGATTGGTTCATGTGAGCAGCCTACCTCGTCATGCGTTCCAAAGAACCCGTGATCCCATACAACGCAATGTGACCTAACCAACTTGGAGAACGTGGGTTCAACAATTATTTACCGAAAAGGACACTTGCTGCTGTAACATGTGCAAACAAATGCTGTTTTGAAGGTTAACCGCTTCACCGGAAAAGGCTAGCTAAACTAAACACGGATTCCACAATGGCCCTCACGTGCTGCGGGGACTGATTCTAGATAATTACGCCGCGGGAATCAAATAGCTACTTCAATCAAATTAGCAAAATTGAGCTTCTTTTTAGACATACATGACGTAAAGAGCTCTGATAGACTAATCAGATACAAAGCTATTCACAGTCAGAAAATGCCATCGGAGACTATTGCTACATAAACATCCGAATTCAATATATACTGGTTTTGAGTTGCTACTGTTCTTTCGTTCGGTTGTCTTGATGATAGCGAAAAGTCTCTGATTGCTTTTCAGCAAGCATTTGACAAGGGAAAAAACGGGAAACCAGCTTACTCACCCGTGGCAGGTTGCCGGATATCTCCTCGCCACGTTCAGAAGCAATATGAAATAACAAAGATCACAGGTCATTTTGAAGTGGTCAATCGGATGTAGTTCCGGTTAACTAGACGGGCGAACTTAAACTTGCTATTCCCAAGTGATAACTCATGGCGTTTTAGCGAAGGTTTCCAGACACTCGACCAGAAACGGGAAACCAAGCACCAAAATGACCACCAGGGTAAGGACCAGTAGAATTGTGTAAAAGTGACAGAACAATAAGATGGTAGATAAATCATCCAGCAGCTATCCATATTGAATGCTCACCTGAAACCCAGCTGAATCTCTCGTTTGTGATGTTTCCAGGTCATGGGCTGTCGACAAATTTTTAGCAACTTTATGAGTAGTGCATTACAAATATATACATGTATCGCGATATCTCGAATATCGCAGCGACTGAAACATGAGGCAGCCCGGTGCATCACATTCGGCCGCCTGGAAACATCACAAACAAGAGATTCAGCTGGGTTCCAGGTGAGTCTATCGCAAAACTAAATTAGTTTGCAAACGAGTGTATTTCGCTAAAGTGGGTATTCTGTTGTGGGAAACCTACAATGAACATGGAATGGTAGGTTCGACAGCGAAACGACGACCGCAACACATGCCGGTCGGCGTAAATGCTATGAGGAAATTCCAGAAATGTATGAGTTCGATGTACGCCTGGGAACTGAAAACTGTATATATGAAGCATGGCTACCGCTCACGCTGCGTAGAAGCGAGTGACAAGCTCATTTAAAGGTTTCAGTGTGACAGCTAAAAGTCCGCGTCTAGCTCAGGGTCGTATAAAAAGTCGGAGAAATTCTTGAAGGGAGGAAATGTAGTTACCACGTAAAGCAGAAATTAGAGTAGCATCACGGTTTGGAATTCTAGGGAATAATCGGACAATGACAATAGGGAGTTGTGCCTAAGTTGTCACCTGTTCATTGAGTATAATTCGATTGTGCCGAAAAGACCAACGGTAAAAAAACACGGGGTTGTTGTTTTTTGTGTATCGTTGCTGCAAGAGCACGGCTAACATCAAGTACTTATAAAAGAGCACTGATATTTGTACATTTCGACGGTGCTCCTTGTTGGGAAGTATAACTATATTGGCATCCATCATCCCGTTAACCAGTAAGCACACATCAGATCTTTCGAAGAGGTGTGCTGAATGGGGACTTTCAGTGAATACAATATCCGGTATTCTTTATCCGTTGTCCCAACTAAAGACCGTGTTGGACAGAAAATCATGCCACGGAACGAAGTTCTTACAGATTTTACCAAGGATTGTAAGTGTGTATGTATGTATTCGAGGTTCATCTCGAAGACAAGTGACTATAGCATTCACGTCTTCATCCGAATACGAAACATTTGGGTTTTATGTGAAGATTAGGATCGAACCTCAGTTTCAAAAAACAGCGGTATGTGTAAGGGAGATCAAGGACTTGACCAGAAGATACAGAAAAATGTGAAGACAAATCTGGTAATTGTTAAGAAATCTACATGCTACATTATTTGTCAATGGTTTGTCTGTTTAATCTGCATCAAGACCATGAGCGATCTGAGAAGTCGAGAATACAACCTGAGTTGCACATTCTGATAATAGCAAGTGGTTCTTTCTGCGGCTTCATTATTTCCTGGTGATTTTACAGCCTTTTCACCATAAATGTTTACCAGCTTTATATAAGATGAGTGGGGTCCCGTGATATCGTTCCAACGGAGAGTTCTGTGTACTGTCCTTGAGGGATAGGAGCACCTCATTAACCATGACACAATCATTAGGTCTGAGTTAGTATGGATGAAACAAGACAAAAAATTAAGCTGTCATCAACTGATCAAAACCGCATACGTTGACGGAGCGGAGCTCAAACCGCGACATGGGGTGGCCGCGTTTTTTGTTTGGGGGGAGTGTGGTATCTTGCCCCTCAATCCACTGGTCAGTCTCGCGGGCCCAGAATAGAAGGAGAAGCAGAGTACAAGAACCTTCAAGACTGATTTGCACGACTAGTAGAGTCGAAAATTGAATCTAAAGGGGGTGAACATATTAGACTTTAATGCGGGTTCTTTTGTTACACGATTGCGATACAGCATCATTGGGATCGGGATTGGGAATCAGTGATGGTATGACCTAGAACCACGGGATTCGTAAAACATGTAGTTGGAAAGGTGGCCGCAAGTGCCTAAGAACATGAGGGCATTCATTAAAACTGAGGATGTCATGTCAAAAGCAGTCTAGAAGGGTTATAGTTTCCGTAGTGATACCACACTACTGTAAACTAAGGGACGAGCGGCGTCCGAACTGGCAGCCTTACGGGATGGTTTCTAGGTGGTGTCCATGTCTGCTTGGCTAGAAACGTTGTACGATATGGCGACGAACCGATGTCAATAGCCCCTATTGTTTATAACCAAGATCTGACCTAACAAACCCCGGACAGCGGAACTTTCGGGAAATTCCACGGAAAGTGCTGTAACCCTGCTCACTCAGCGTACGATGCAAGGACTAAGCGAATCATGAAAGGCAGGTACACAGCCAATTTATACATTGTATTCAGGTGATGTGCACCCACTGAAAAGTCAAACCGACAAGATATACGCTGAAGTATTTCTCTGTGTAATAATGGTATTTTGTTAGCTTAATTCTCAGTCTGAACCTCCCAAGTTAGCGTTCCCGTCAAAATAACCATCAAAGGTACACAACGCGTATTAGCACCCAAAACCAGGTCAAAAACATATACAGCGAATCGTTTATAGATGTTATGCAGCGACAACATTCGGTAAATTCTGACGCCTTCTGGATGCAGCATAGGCAAC